TCTAATCAAAATTGGGCAAGTTACGCCTGTCGATCTTTTTTCGAAAAAAAAGTTCATTTTTTTTGCACACCACTGTACTTTTACTTTTTTTGCTCATGTGACCCAGTGATGGAAATTGGCTACGAATACCAAACTAGTATACAAATATCGTTATCGAATTGGGTTATAATAGAAAATGCGTCTGTGTCATGATGACAGAAATTCGATACCGTCGTCTGTGTTATGACAGAAATCCGGCACTATCGTCTGTTATTATTATGACGACAGAAATCCGACACCATCGTCACACCTAAATTATAGTATAAGTAGTTTGTAATTTCTAGGAAACTACAAACTACTCACTGGATGTGGAGGAAGTGTTAGTACTAGACATTGTTAGCTTGTTAGTATAGAGAAATAGATGTTTTTTCAGTGTTGGTATTCTTTTGTTCTGTAGGAGGCGCGATAATGCTAATGAACAGAAGAAAGAATGTAGATTTATATAACAGAACACCACGGAATAAATCTGAAAGTCAGCTGGCCATTCTTCAAAGAATTGTTCCATTTCATCGTTTTCTACGTGTCGTTTTAATCAATTCTTCTATATTATTATAATCGTGATACTATTTTCATATAACGGGTTTATTCAACAAAGAAGTCTTCCTTAGATTAAACAAAAATCTGTTCTTTTGCATGTGTAATTTCACCAAGCACTTTCATATCTTCACTTATCATCCATTCTCCGCTTAGATTTTGAAAAACATGATTATCAGTAGTCGCCATATGTTTCGTTTTCGGAATATCTTATTATTAGTAGATGATCTCCCAATGCCGTTATACAGCAAACGAACGATGTCAACGTTTTGTTGATTTCCTTCAGGAAAGACCTCTAAAAGTTTAGAATGTGAAGTTACAATGCTTTCTCCAATCAACTTGTCAATTACAGGCCTTAATGTAATCGTTGTTTTTCGTAAGCGATTTCGATTAATCGGTAGATGGTATCGCTCTTGATTTTTCATTAAAGTCATTATGTCATCATATACATTACTGCTCCATTTCTCAATTTCCATACCAACCTTACACGATCTTGTTCATTTAGCAAGTCTTTCATCTACAGTCTTCCAGTACTTCATTTTCTAATAACAACTGTCTATTAACTCGCTAATCCTTTTCAAAAAATGTTTCGTGCGCTGGCTCCTACATAGATACTTGGATCCTGAATCAACAAAGCTTCTTCACGAACTTGCATCTCATGTTATTACCAGTAAGCTTTCTTCTTTCTCGTTCTACTTTGTTCGACTCTGAAAAAACTTGAATCATCCAATTTAGTCAATTGCTTCTTTAACTATCTCCTGATTGTAGTGTCTTTCACATATAGACTATCTGTCTAAAAGTCGAGCGTTGACGATAGTTCAGGAAGATACTTAGCCATTTCTGTTAGACTTTTCACTGTTGCACGAGCAGACGCATGTCGCCATTTTGATTCTCTTTAGTCACGCGTGGTGCTAACTGGATCTTCTTCGAAAGAGAATTAAATACGCAAGGTACCGAACCCACTATAACTGTTGTTGCATAACAAAGCGTAATTCTGAAAAGTTGAATGAGAAGAAACAGCTTTTCAAAGTCGTGTGAATCCCGGTGGATTCTAAAAGTATATGCTTGTAAAAGTGTATTTAAACTGTTAGTCTTGCTTCTTATCGCAACGTTATAGATCTATACATCGTTTTGAAATTCTTGGCATTTACACAAATCAGATTTCGAGATACGCATTCGAACATTCAAGTTTTCGTTTTTTTCTATTATCATGAGTTGTTCGTTTATGGTTTATTACTTTTCTTTCTTCTTGGTAAATTTCATAAGTAATTTTTTTCTTTATCTAGAGAGTTTGGGCACTGTTGATTTTAAAAACGTTAGGCGCGATTTTTCTCCTTGAGCTTCGTTTTTTTATATACATTTTTTTTTACTGTTTTTTATTTACGTCTTAAAAATGCTTCTATAGTACTGTAATTCTTGGGTTCCATGATAGTCTTAATGTAAATTAATTTCATATTAATATTTTTATATATAGAGATAATTTTATATTAATCACATTATGGTTTATATTCACCACATTTTGGTATGATAAAGGAAATTAACAGGTCTACAAGTTACGAGCACCATTATTACTTTTCAAACCGCCATCAGTCATACTGGTCAATTTACAGCCACATCATAATCAGCCTCTCATTTATGTCACATAATAAAATGTTCACTTTGGTTTTGTTGCAGCATGCCCCATATTGATGAGTTTGGCATGGAATCAATAAACCATAACACTTTACTTTGTTCGGTTACCTTGATTTGAGGTTCTTGTCAAATAACTGCTACAATCAATCCGAATATACTCTGTTATCAAGGTTAATGTCGTTTTGTACATAATAAAGCAGTTACATTTTTTGAATAGCCGAGAATTACTGGTCAAACTCGGTTTTTATTTTATTTGTGAACGTGATAGGGTTCTTCTCAGTATCATTATTGGGCACTGCGTGATTAACGATTATACGAATTATTCTCATAATATCCATCTATTAACTCGTCACGATAACCGCATGTCCAGACGGATATTCCTCGTTTCAACTTAGCTCAGTAATGTTATAATACTCTTTGCTTGGCGTCGAGCGGTAAAACCACTACAACGGAATAGTTAAGTAACTCATAAACATAATACGTCATAGACTGGACGATGATTCCATTAATCAATATTACTAATCACCATCGAGAATGAAACTCTGATTCAGTGAAGCGGTCAGCAAAACGCCTGATTATGAACACTCGAATGAGAGAGATAACTTGTCGAACACTCTAGTTAATTGCAGAGATTTAGTGAATGAACGACGCTAATGAAAAACCGCAATTCCCAAAACGTTAACAACAATAATGTGTAAATGACGTGATGGACTTGTTTTGCCTGTGGAACAGGGTCTACTGCAATATTATAACACTAGCAATGACGTGCGTGATAACAATTTATTGTGTCACTTGCTATTTTTATTGAAAGCTTTCGCCTTAGTACAATTCCGCATACGACATTGTTGGCACGAAACAACAATCTAAATAAACATCAGACTCTTGTTGTCAATAATAACTTGTTCATCTTCGACTTGTAAACCGAAACATTCGACTCTTTTCGACACCAGATCAAACAAACAAAATTTTGAATTGGCGAATCCGAGAGCTTCGAAAGCGAACTACTTATCCCCGGAAGAACTTCCCGTCTTTTTCTCCAATGCTTTCTATAAAGTTGGAAAGATTATTGAGAAGACATTATCTCGGCAGATGAATTCCGATTAGCTATACATACCTGCTGTTTCTGCCTCATTATTTCTGCATCGCTGATAGCAAAAAAAAAAAAAGTGTGAGAAATGTTAGAATTGAGTTTTGGAAAGACATCAATCGTGAACAAGATACTCGTCTTTCCAGTTTTTAGTTTCAAATTACTCTAAAGACTTAATTCGATTTTGAACGAGAACCGAATTCTATTAGTCAAGTAAGCAAGACAAAAAAAAACCTCCAGCCTCTACTTCTGTCGTTACGTGTATTTCATATTAAAGGTTTCCATCGCTTGTACTTTTAAAAAAGCTGTCACTACTTTTTTGACAAACTTGATAATGCGCAATCAACAACAACAAAATACCTTTGGGCACGCTTCTTGTAGCTCACACCGTCATCCTTCTTAGCAGCCTTTGCTTGTTTAGTATTTTTCTTGAGGTTCTTTTCACGAGCCTTTTCTCTTTGATTGCCACCTTGATAATATAGCAAACATTTTAGGAGATGTTATTACACATAGGATAGAGAAACAATTTGTTGCATTCTGTAACTTACGAGTCATGTGGAAGTTTGTGTATTGTTTTAGAAAGAAGTAAGGTCAAGGGCAAGAAGAAACAAAAGCGCTAGTTCCGACTTTTGGGTAACCAGATGGTGAGGGGGAAGGGTTAAAGATGAAGAATAACTGCTCTCAAGTAATGAAGTTCCACGGACTGGTACAATCATCTGATTGATTAAAAATGCTTACACCAAAACATTAAAAAAAGCAAAAGGTTAAACCAGCGTTTAACCAACACAATCTTGGTTTTCCATAACATGTACGATCCCTCAAATCCATACGAGTCTGATACTCAGCATACCAATGTGAGAGAACTCGAGGTTAGTATTTTCAAGTGATCTCAGGTGACAGAAGAAAACAGAAGTAATACATATAATATTCTATCATTCAAGAATCAGCTTTAAAGTGATAAAAACCCATATTACCATCAAGCCTCTTTTTCTTTTTCTTTTTCTTTTCTCTTTCTTTCTCTTTCTCTTTCTCTATTTCTCTCTCTCTCTCTCTATGTATCAATTCTCCCTCCCCTCTCCTTTTCCCGACTCTTTCTTTTCTTCCGTTTACCATTTCCGCGTTTCTCGCGTTTCTCCTGCTTCTCCCGCTTCTCCCGTTTCTCCTATACTGCCCTACGCTTGTTCCTCTTCTGTTTCTTGCCGCTTTTAATCACACAAGGTTATTCAAACCGAAGAACTCATATCAGATCCGATTGACGAGGAAGAGAAGGAATTTCGTCTTCCACGCGGACACGTTCCAACCGGATATGTGGATGCTTCGAGCATAAAGCAAGCGAGCATGGATGTGCATCTACCAGAAAGTAACATTGGTTATCAATTGTTACTAAAAATGGGTTGGAAGGTTGGAGCAGGGCTTGGTGTTTCGCAGCAAGGTTGGTGTGAGAATGGAGTGACCCTGTAGAGACAATAATACGTTCGACAATCTGTAAAGTTGTTAAAGATGTAGCTGATGGATGATGTCACCGTCTATCTGGGTGGTTTTTTTTTAATATTCAGGCAGAAAGGACCCAATCCGCATTGAAATCAAAGCAGACAGTTTGGGAGTCGGTAAACAAGAGGAGGAAGATTATTATCACATTACCTCTACTTCCAGGCGCAAGGCGTTGGATAGCGAAAAGTTTGCTGAAGAAACTGAGGAAGAGCGCAAGAGACGAGAGGTGCTGAAATTTGGGTTTCCATACTTGGATCTCGAAAGCATTCTTTAACTTGGTTTCTCTTTTTCAGGATAAGGTTCAAAAGCAAGAGACGCTCAAAAAAGAACTGAATACAATAAAAGCAGCCTTCTATTGCGCATTATGTGATAAGCAATACAACAGGATATCTGAGTACGAAGTGCATCTGAGTTCTTATGATCACAATCACCGTAAGGTTAATCGAGTGTTTATTATATTATAATACTTTTGTTATGTTTTGCATGATCTCCAAGTCACTAACCTCCTGTCCGGGCTTATTATAGCGTTTCAAGGAGATGAAAGAAATCAACCGTTTGCCTCCGAAATCAGACAAGAAACGCGAGAAAGAAAGAAAGAGGGAAGAACGAGAACTAGCACGAATGCAGAAAGCGGCATTGGAGAAAGCGGGAATTCAAACAAGTAGTGGTGAATCTGAAAAGTCTTCTGTAGAAATGAAGAGCGCGCAGAATGATGAAATATCAAGAAATAAGGGTGGGTGGACTACGACAGAAACAAGCGTTAAATCTGGTATTACCAAGGGCGGATGGACTACGGCTACAGCCTTTGAGTCTGATAGCAAGCAAGGATGGACGGCTGTAAATGCTACAGATTCCGATATAAAGGGCGGGTGGACGACTGCCAACTCCAATTCAGTCGCATCTGGCCCACCCGCCAAGGAACGACTTGAGAACCAATCCAACGCACCATCCACTCAACCGGTTTCAGATTCGGGTTCCAGATTGACTTTTGGAATTAACAGAGCGTCAACGACCAATTCGTCTGCAGAGCAAAGCGAGGTAAAAACAATAGCGTCAGAGAAAGAGAGAGGGAGAGAGAGAGGAGGAGGAAAGGAGGGTGGGATTGGAATGTGAATGTCCCGATGGCTAATTTCAATGGAGTGATGTCGGAATTTGCTAAATTTTCTTTTTCTTTTTCTTTTTTTTTTTTGCAGAGACCCACTTTAAAATTTGGCTTACAAAGACGAAGATAGGGGTGGTATTTTTAATTTATGAAATATTCATTTGCAGAATTACATGATGATCTAAATGTTTTCATTACTCTCTTTTTTATTCTTTTGTATTATCCTTAATATGAAAATATCATTACATTCCGAATTGTCCATAGATTGTAGGTTAAGATTTACCTTACCTTCTTTCACTCGTGAACAGAGAAAAAAAAAATAAAACAAAAACAAAACGTCTTTGGTAATGATTCAATGTAAAGGTCATTTGCGACGATCCATCGGATGACAATACTGTTTTAGTTTCATTGAGATCTACTCATTTTTATTAAGAATTCTCCTTCTCTTTGAGCGTTTCATATTGAAATTCTTTCTACCTGGTAGAATTTTCTACCGCGAACCATGCTGTTTGGAGAAAAGATACGAATGAACTTGTGATCATGATCGTTGTACCTGTTAAGTAGTAGGGCCAACTCGCCAATGAATAGGTTGATTGTGGAGGGTAAATAGCGATAATGGGACGGGCGGATATCTCGCAGAATTAATGAGCTTTTTCCACATGATTTCATGGTAATTATGATCGGGAATTTTTCGTACGAATCGATCTGACGGGTTACAAGACGGTGGTTTATCCTTGTGATTCTTCACATCATTCCTCACCATTCACTTTAACCTTTTCTCTCTCACGCGTCGTGTAATGTGAGCCCTTTCACTCATCCTTGCACAACGCTTCATACTAACCCTCAGATAGACTCCATGTTTACTTTTGTGAGACGGTGCATTGTCTACACGTGTGCGTTTTAGAGTCAGAACGCAGGTTTTACTGTGTATGTGATACGTGAATAAGGGTAATTTACTACTAGTCTGTGCAGGAAAAGGTTTGATAATGGATATGCAGAGTTTCAAAAAAACACACAACAGTTTATTACATCGTGATTGAAAAATTTTAAAATTCGAGATTAATTTTCTGGGCCGTTTGGCGTGAATGCGTTCTCGTATGTTTCAAGTCTTGTCTTTTTTCTGTCTCGATTATTTCTCATTCTCACTCTCATTCCACTCTCTCCCTTTTTTTCTCTTTCATAATCATTTTTAGTATACGCTTGGCGTATCATGATTATGATCATTATCGTGCTCAGCCAAAGTCAAAAATGGACTGGGTCGCTTTGAACGATTTAATCAATTACACGTTAATGATCAAAAATCGATCTCTTTTTCATAATCATAATAATGACTAAAATACTAAAAACCTGCTCGTTAACATTAATCGTATATGCCCCGAACCAGTATCATCCAATAATATGTGATAATCTATCTATATCCACTGCTCTTTTCGCAATCTGGGGGTGTGTGTTTGAACGTTTTAGTATTAAATATAATCATATTAGTGCAGATTAGGATGATCGATGAGATCAATGAGAATAGAAAAGATGTGTTTGGAAGAATCGTTTAGAAAAAAAAATATGTACCTGTTACAGTACCCGCAAAATACCGGTTTGAACTTGAACCGGTTTACGTGTGAAAGTGGATTACGAGATTGAAAATTGGTTGGCTGGACCTGTTTGGATTGGAGTGCAGCTCAGCCATGTTCGGCGATTGAACATGCTGATTGATATCAGCCATTATGCACGTAAACAAAGTTGTAGTTATAATAACAAATCCAATTGTTATGAAATGTATCTTATTATTATTATTATCATAATAAACATAATTTTCCCTTTGTTATCCTTTTATCATTCATATTCTTTAGCATCTTTTTTGGGGTTGGGAGCATTCAGCGCAATGGGCCCCCTCATTTCCTTCATTTCCCTCATTTTACTTTCCTTTTTCTTCAATACCCACTCGATGACGACTACTGCGACGACTCCGCCTCTTTCCACAAATAATAAAGACATGTTTCACCTTTGAATTAAGTAAATAACTCAAATTACTAATTATGATGAACGGAAAAAGATAACAATAAAAGGTCGACCCAGTAAATTTGTCTAATTTGGCAGCGAATGGATTATTGTGTTATCCATCATGAATTCTCTAGAGCGATGTAGAACAATAGTTAGTGATACAGTGGGAAGATAAGACATGAGAAGGGGTTGGTGTTGATCGATAAATAAATAACCAAAGAAGGATATATGACTTGGAAATCCTAAATCACGGCTACATTTTCGTAGTATTATTACAGCTGCTGTGTTGTGTTTGTATTTTGTTGACATTTCACAGAATTAAAGTTAACGGGGTTTGCTTGAGGTACAAAGGTTATTGTGTCAAAACGTTTAATGGAGTCACAAGATGTAATTAATTTAAAATTGGTATCAACGTTTGTCGTCATAATTCTGTTGTCGACTGTCGTCACCTCTATTTCTCTATTTCTCCAACTCTCTATCTCTCCCTCTATCTCTCTCTCCCCATCTATCCATCTCTCTAATCTCCTTCTTCATTCTAATCCACATCCTCCACCCCCTGCTCACACCGTGTGTGCATGCATATATGCTATTATTATCACTTGGATGCAATTTCGCTTGTTCTAATTGCCGACAATTTCTGGAATTATCAATTCGCATATGCTCACACAGTTAAATGCAGTGTCACTAGTAAAATAATTATCAATTGAGTTTAAATGATTTACCCGTTTCGGTTGACTCGTATTCGTCCAACAATTCATGTGGAAAGCTCATCCATTCATTGATTCATTCATTCATTCATTCACTCGTTCATTTTCTTTTCTTTCTTTCTTTTCTTTTCGTCTATGCAATGTGTTGTCATTGTCTTGCGCACATTGGCAATGAAATCGATGCCTGTTACAGTATGGATCTATGGTAGTAAAATTGATCTCATACATTGAACACAAATATGGAACAAAACCTTTGATCTTCTGCGACGTTGCAACGTTTGTGTGCCAAGTAATAAACTATGTAGTAAAAGCGCACAATGTGACATTAAATTATATTTACCCGAATATGGCATGCATTTATTCAGCGATCACCTGTTACAAATTACAGTCTATCATGAATATAACCAGAAACACACACGACACTCACACAACAACGTTTCTCCCTCCCTCTTTTTCTCTCTCTCTCACAGTTTAGTCCGCTGCATCAGCCCAAATGGGCGACAATAAGACCAAAAAGACATTGACAATATTGCGGCTGGGATGGCAATTTCAGATGAACCAATGGACATATCTTTTTAATGAGAAATAAAACAAGGAGATGATACTTTTCACCCCATTCAGAGCATGCTAATCGATATTGGTATAGCCCAATTATTTTGTACCACAAGCGCACGAATATCGTTGGCTTGGAGATATGTAAGAGAAAAAAAAAAAAAAAAAAAAAAAAAAAAAAAAAAAAAAAGGCGACGGAAAAGTAATTTAGCAAAAGCAGATGATTTGTAAGCAATACAAAATTGGGTTATGATTGAATGAGAGAGAGGAGATGGGTAATCGGGGCGACGGCTAAAATTGGGGTTCGAAAAGACTGGATAAAGATTACCATTAGCGATTGATTATGTATATTCACACACATTCTCACAGACAATAATACATATACAGTATAGAACATACATATACATCGCATATACATATACAGCACGCCTAATTACAACACGCATACTCGTAGCATACAACACACACAAAAACAACCACATACACCACACCGCCCTTATTCTTCTTGTCTGTTCTACACTCGTACTATAGTCTAATTAACCATCATGAGCACAAGGGTGGATCATTGTCATTGTTTTAAAGGTGAATATTGGCAGAGTGTGGCACAAGTTCAGTTATAACTGATACGAACGTTATATCGCAATACTCTATGAATAGTTAGCATAGACAAACAGACATCCCAGCCGCCTCAACCCCCCACTTTTCGCTCTTTTTCCCCCATTCTCCGTTCCCCATTCTCCGTTCCCCGTTCCCCGTTCCCCCGTCCAAACAGGTTTTACTGGATGATGGCGAAATAGTTTGTAGTAATACTTTTAGTTAATGGGGACTGTGATTTTTCCTTTATTGTTATTCTATTAATAATGTAGTACCACCGGATAAATTATTAATTGCGATAACGGGTATTGTATTTGTGTTTCGTTAACACTGTTTAGTTGAAAAGCTAGGGTGAGCACAGGGTGAACACAGGGTGAGCATTACGCTACTAGTCGCAATAGGTACGACTAAGTATGTCGATACTTTGATGTAGAACAACATTCAATGTTGAGTGATTTTCTATGCTTTTACTCTGTAGAAGATCAATGTTACAGGTTTGCGTTACAAGATGTAGGGCGGAGAGGGGAAAAAATGGGCGGGAAGAGTAAAAAGGCGACACAAACCTTTAAACAACAAATACGAGTAAAAACATCAAATTATGTGCACAAGATTTACTTTATGGCAGCACATTGTTATTATATGGCAATTTGCAGTTATCTCTCTTTTAAAGAACCGGTTATCTTTTTTAAATTTATCTCTGCATAATTATATTCCCACAATCGTAAATATACAGGGGGGGATGGGGATGGGATGATGAGATATTTTCAAATAGGAACAACAGTTATATTACTCCTGCCATCTATTTGGTTCTTTTGTAACATGTACTTTTTTTTTTATTGAACGGACAGGTAAGTTATGAAACATTGTGTTTCCTTGTCCTTTCCACTGTTTTTGTGATATAGTGCTCTACTCCGTTTTTAGATGATAGATGAGATTGCACATACACAAGACATAGCGCGCACCGCACCGCACAGCGACACTCATATAACGCAACACTAGGCATAACGCACGCAAGAGCACACAATCTAATAAAATATTATAATTAGGTTGTATAAACATAGTCGGATAAACGTAATGCACATAAATGTACCGTATAAATATACAGTATATTTAATATTGTTATTATCACATATCAACATTGCTGTATCTGTTTGTGTACCGCAATCCCTATATCACTTGCCAACCAACGCTTTTAATTAATATTTGCCTTAATGGTGTCAATTGGTGACGAGAGTATGCATGAGAATTCGAACACAAAGTATGCCATGTAAATTATACGTAATTGATATGCAAAGAAATTTATATCAATGTATGCGTGTATGTATAAACATCCATAGATATGGCAATGTGAAAGCTTAGGTGATGATTAATCAGTGATTCAGCTGATAATATTTTTTTGAAAAAGGGGGGAGGGAAGGGAGGAGGAGGAAGAAGGGAAAGAAGAAGGGGGAGGGGAAAGGATCTGGACCATGTTCTGATCTACATGATACTGAAGAGAGTTTTCATTCGAAGAGCTATTTTTACAGAAAACGATTGTTCTCATAGTGAGTACAAATCTTGTATGTTTGTATCGAATGTTCCGTTCACCCCACCCCGAAAAGTCACAATTATCACTTTTCAAAGACTCTCTCCATCTTGTTACTTGACTGTCACTTTTCCCCCCATTCTCGATTGACTTTCACCGGGGAAAATTTATCAGAGTCTTACAAACTATCACGCTAATGCGTATATCATATGAGAACGGAAGATTCACCAGAACACAGGCGACGCACACACACATATTTGCACACATACACATACAAAAATATATACGTTCACACACACGAATCCTTTTGTTGTAACTTTTTAACAATGACCGTTACAAACTCGTCAAAGCACAGGCGGAGAATACAGATGATGTGCGATGATGGGAGTTGAGTGGGGTGGGGGGTGGAGTTTGTGGGTTTGAAGTGAATTGGCGTTGAATTGAATGAATTGAATGGGTTAGCGAGCGGGTCAGCGATCGAGTCAGTGAGTGGGCCCAGTGAGTGGGTCAGTAAGTGGGTCAGTAAGTGGGTCAGTGAGTGGGTCAGTAAGTGGGTCAGTAAGTGGGTAATGAGAGGGGACCCATACAACCAAGTCGTAGAATAGATGGATACATGCCCTTCGTATATGGGAATATTGTTATAACTGATAAAATATAATATACTCAGTGTAAATATATATTGTTATCATTGTTAACATTTATATTGTTGTATAAATACAATTGTATCGCTTATGTAAATGTAAATCTATTCAATCTTATGATAATATTTGTATTATTCAATCATTGTGTAACAACATTACTCGTTATTCCGCCGTTCCCGTTTGTTCGGCAGTCAGCAGATGCAAATATTTTTACAAAAACTATTGTCTGATCCACGCACAGATTCTATTGTTAATATAACCAAAAGCCCATCATCTAATACAGTATTGGTAATTTCGTTGGTGAGAATTGCAGATGTATTTGATAAATATCATTGTCGATCTATGGGCAAACATTCAAAGCCTCCTTTCCACCCCCCTGTTAAACATCATCTGATATGGTACATTGCAGTGCAGCACATGCAGAGTTTTGCAGAGTTTTTTTTTTTTTTACGTACACAACCCGCAAGTCAAGTGTGAGTTGTGTGAGTTGTGTGTGTGTGTGTGTGTGATGATGAGCAGAAATATGCTCGCAACACAAGGAGGGAAAAAGAGAGGGAAAGGGTTTTCGAGTCACAGTCCTTTGCTACACCATCTATCCATATCAATCTTATGTTGTATCCGCTTCTATAATTATGTCAAAACGTGTCCATATGCTCATACAATAAATATAACGGGTATTTGCATTCGCAAAGTAAGACTTGCCTATAACGGCGCCATTGACGGTCCTGTCTCTTGTCATGCGACCATAAACCAAAGCTCTGACACCCCAACTCCTCCTTAACTCTATGATAAACAAGTTAATGTCTTCCCACCCTCTTCGCAGACTAATTTTGATTCGTCAATGTGGGCTGCATCTATTAAGACATACAAAGTAATGGATGCCACACAAAGCCCTGTTATGGTAAGTATTACGATAATAGATGTAGGATTGGCATAATGTATATTTATATACATTAATATACTATATAATATTGTACGTACATTAATATTGTATGTGTTACATAATTTATATGCAGTATATGTTTCTTTTTCTTTTGTTGTACTATACTATTTATAAAACCAATACTATAATTTGCATTATCTATAATTCAAGTAACAGACAATTGGTGCGAGTAATGTAAGATCATAACTGATAAACAACAAGTACACAAATAACGCAACAACGCAGTAGCAGTAGCAGTAACAACACAAATAACACAACAACAACAACAACAACAACAACAACAACAACAATAGCAAAGGGAAAAAGAGAGAAAAAAATAAAGCCCAAATCATCAAAAATCGCCAAAGCCTTTCGACTAGACAATCTCGGTAATAATTGATAGCGAATTGAATGAATGAAATTACTATTATGACGATTACAATCACTAGTTACTTGTTGGCTTTATCAATCAGTTACTTAACTGCCCAATCTGTTAATTTTATTACAATGCAATCTCTTTTTTACTGATGTCGAGACCGGTAATAAAACTTGTTTACCCAACATACAATCCATCATTCACAATATTACGCATAACGGAATAACTTTCAATAATGATATATTCTTATGCGCCATCTCATCGTTGCCCCGACGTCCGTTCGTCCATCTGTGTCCGCCCATTCCTCGAACAAAATTCCAAAAATAAAGGAGAATGCCAGCTGTAGGATGTAAGGATAAAGACTTATGTCATCAACTCGCATAATTAGCCAAGCACAAACAGTTCTCGTGGGCGGAATGCGCAACCCAACAGATATATTCTTTAAGAAATAATCGATACAATCGTAATATAAATTAGTATTGTGTTCCCTCAATGCCCTTTTTCTCCGTCGGTTCCGCGAAAACGCCCGATTGTTGAATTGTAAAAGGTTCGAGGATCATCCCTTGTGACATAAGTCTCTAACTAGATCCGGTATAGATTTTTACATTTTTCTTGTGTAATTCAAGTTCCGAGAGGGAAAGGGAAAAAAAAAAAAAGTAGGGTGGGTGAAAGGTGTCAGTATCACAAGACATGGCATTGACGATTAATACCTACAACATATAGATGGGGTTTTAAAATCTAGTAAAAAAATCGATTATCTATATCCCATATGCAGATGTTTGCGGGCGGCAGATAGGGGAACAAGTAAATAACTGGTTTAGGATATGTTATTCCAAATTTGAAGCGAAGAGAAAATGAGTGCATCATTTTCTTACTGCGCGATTCATCGACAACAATGAAAAGGACAACAACTGACAAACAAGCGTTTGTTATGTATGTATGAATGAATGTATGTATGCAATTTTCATCTCTCTTTCCCCCCCTTTTTTTTCATCCAAACACTATGTCCAATCGCATATCAAAAATTAAGCTACGTAACAAAAGTTAAATATAGATAACTGGGTGCAAATAATCAACTTACTAGTTTGGTAAGGTTGAAAGTGTTAAGAAAATAAGAATATACGCCGATGCAGACACAAAAGTTATGTAAGTATATTCATATTCACCATGTATGTGTGATAGTTGATATGTGATAGTTGATGTGCAAGAGTGTATATAGCGTATATAGCGTACATAGTGTACATAGTGTAGTGTGTACACCACACATACACATTACACATACACATCACACACATACACACATACACCTCGCAACACCCTGAACACCATTGTCTACGATTTGATTACACATTTTAATTTAGCTTTACGTTTTCCCCCCTTTTTTATCCCTATCTCTCAATCTGTTGTCTCAAATCTCATATTTTCCTCTCTCGCTTTTTCTTCTTTTCTTTTTTCCATTCCTAGTTTTCCCCCTTTTCTTCCGCATCTTCTCCCTTTGCGCCCGGATATTTCCGAGTTGGGGGACCATATATGGTCGACTTGATTACATTTTGTTTCACTATTCCTAATTGTTAATCTACTGCATTTTGTTTGATAAGCGATTTCCATCAACTGGTTCATTTATTATAGGAAATTTAAACAATCTCATAAGATACATCAAGTTCGCTATTGTGCGACCATGTAGTTGAACGATTCATAACTTTATAATTAACGTCTAGAACTTTTGTGACATCAAATGAAAAGCATAATGAGCGGGTAGTGGCGGTTATCAAAAGCTTTAGTTTGCTCTGTTTAGCGCTAATTTGAGATAATTAATGAGAAATGTAGGCAAATTATAAATACTCGATGAATTTGTCAGTAACCGATTCGCAATCAATAACCATATTAAATTAATTACAATTATAAATTGGATGAATACATAACAGGAAAGGGGTGAAATAACAAATAACATAACAAGATATAGTAATCAATGGAATTGAAATCGAATCGAATTGACTTGTTCGTTGTTATCTTTATTTATGTGTTGTTCCGATGCATTAGAATCGCAAGAGAGAAAGAGGAGGAGAGAGAACGAGAGTAGTGTACTAGTGAGAGTGAGAGAGAGAGAGAGAGAGAGAGAATAGTGTATCAGAGAGGATGATAGAGATAGAGAGGGGAAAATGGGAATGGGGAAATGGTGCTTAACGATTGGATAAAGCATCGAGTATTTTGGTAATACCCATACTTACTGGGATATCAATATACGGTGAATGGCTGATTGGACAGTAAAAAGAATAGTAATAAAGAATATTGGAATCAACATTACACAAACATGAATGCCTGTTTAAAAATACCCCTCCATAAAAAATTATACAGCGGTTAATAAGAGGCAAGTTGGCCAAGCATTCAAGAATTACGGCTCAACGGGCGTATATGTGTATAACTGATACTATCGAGTTGTATATAACTGAATTTATACAACTGAAATCGATATTATATATATTAGTAGTGTTGTTATTATTATTATTATTATTATAGTTATTATTAAAATAATCATTATTATAATTATCCGTATTAATATTGTTGTTATTGTAGTTGTAATTATTATTATTATGATAATGATGATGATTATTATTATTATAATTGTTATTATTATTATTAGTATTATTAGTATTAGTATTAGTTATTATCTATTCAAGATTTAATTAATTTCATACTTCGATTGAATAAATAAATGTATATATACAGTTACAGTTATATTGATAATAGTTGTGTCACCATTCCCGAACAGGCAAATCGAGTACAAAGGGTAACATACAACTCTTTCTTCTAAAACTGGTTTGTTGGGGGACCTTTCGTATATGTTGGCCAGTTAAAATGCCGTATTAAATGATTGGTGAGTTCTAATATTCCCAATTTGCAAATCAAGCTCAGAACAGGTATCTCGAGTGGCACAAGGACATGGGCTCGTCAACAGCAATATAAGAATCGAAATTATATTATATTACAGTAAAATTAGTATAATTCATGTATATCTTGCTTTTTTGACCCTTCGGAAAGGCCATGCTCATAAAAATACAAAGCGTCCCCCCCTCATTGAGCAAAAAAAAAGTGAGAGTAACATTGAACACGTCTTTCTCGACAAGCCGAAAAAGAAAAAGACTATAGGCAAAACTAACGTGAGTTACTAAATTATTCTACAATCCCTCTTTTTTTGCTCTTTTTACCCTGGGATAATATCGAATACAAGAGTATGCTGTGATATTGATATACAATACAATACAATCACTACTTTACTTACACTACTTACACTACTACTTACACTACTACTTACACTACTACTTACACTACTACTACACTACTTACACTACTACACTACTACACTACTTACTACTTACACTTACTACTTTACTTACACCGCACCGCACTACTTGCGCACTTTCAATTTATATCCAACACAACACCCCCCCTCCCCCATATCCTAATTTCGTAATAATATAAGAACCATCAAAAACGTAAAAAAAAAAATCACGCCCTTTTCCGTTTTCAAAAAAAAGCAAAAACCCTTCTTCCCTCAAACCCATATCCCATTTACTTTGCTAACCTCGACCCATTTGCACCGTTTAAAAACTACACAGAGGCATTGGCCTTGGTATGAGCATTCCTGAAGAAAAGTGGAACGTACATCAACCAGAACAATCTCCTAAACATCCTCACTCTCAAATGAACACAATGTCCAACGAAAATAACTTCATGCCTACTTACCCGTACGAGACTACTTCTTCACAACAGATGCACCAACAACAAATGTAAGCATAAAACTCTACTAACCTGAACACAACCAACAATATTCTTCAAAGAGCATAGTAAACGCGTTTTTGTGTTCCTCACAAAACTGGTTTACATATGCAAGTGTGCTCTCGTTTGCGCGCGTGTTACATTACACATAATATCACCTACTATTCCTACTTTTTTTTTTTTTTTATTTTTTGGTTCCAACCTCTTTTTTACACTTTTGTACCTCTCTGCCTTGGACCAAGTCTACCCATCTAACATTACACACTATTACCCGTCCATAGGCCTGTTCACGAAGGTAACCACATGTACCTGCCTCCTAAGCAAGAAATGGATGCAGCACCTCGTCAATCGCAATTCCAAGGGTAAGTCGTCTTTTACTATTACGCTTCTCTTTTCCTCGTCTCGATTGTTATATATAGCCGCCTTTCTGTGTTGCCCCGTTTCGTTCGTCAACAACTACTTGTTGGTGAAAAGCTACGAGGGCATAATTATATCGACCACTGGTAGACTAGACAATACCCTATACCAATACTCTATACCAATACTCTATACCAATACTCTATACCAATACTCTATACCAATACTCTCAACCCTAACCCACACCCAACCCACACCCAACACACACACACACACACCACACCCCCCTCCCCACCTCACTCTCTCACACCTCACTCTCACACCCCACAAAAAAGTGTGTCAATGTTCTTTTATCTTGCCAACTTTCTTTTTTTTTTTTTTTTCACTCCCCGTTCACCATCTCTTGCCTAAACCTTCAGACACAACAAGGCTCATCTCTTTTCTTCTTTCTTTCCTTTCATAATAGCGGTTTCGTCTCAATGTCAGCTCCCAATACTCCAAACGCTTCACGTCAAACAAACGGTTCTCCCGGTGCCCAGTCTACTCCAGGGGCCCAATCACAGGACCGCAAAGTAATTGATAACCGACCTTCGTTCACTTCCTTCCATACCTCCTTCCAAGGTGGTGCAGTCAGAAAGAGAAGGGCTGACGTTCTCGGTTTCCCAGTCGATGGAAGTCCCTTCTTTTCTCAAACGAAGCAACATAATAATGTTTACAGTATGGACAGGACTACAAGGTATATATTTTTCATTGCCACAAAAAAGAGTGTAGAAAGAGGGGAAGAGGGGAAAAAGCAAAAGGGGAATGCATTATTGAATATTCACGACCATATGATATGCTCTAATTACTCATCCGCTCTTTTTTTTTCTTTTCTAATCCCCTACTAGTTACAAACTCACGATCAAGTCAAAGGTCGACCGTGGATTCTTCTTGGCAGATAACGATTGGACCTGTTATCGAAGGAATTATTTCCAGATAAGCAGCGCCTTTACCATCACCACTTCGTCCGGACACACCGTTAACGAGTCAGAGACACCATGTCTAGTAGAAGTCGACAGCCAATTCCACACTTGCACCCAATTCCTTCTCGGTATCACAGCTCGCGTGTCCAACAGTGACAAGAAAATCGAACTGGTTCAGCACACTCCCAAGCGTGACAAGGGTCCCCAGAGCGTCCCAACACCCAAACCAATTCGTCCAGGCGGTAACCTCAGTCTAAGCTCCGTCGGTTCCAATTCGAACATTGTCACCTTTGAGCGTATTCAATTCAAGACCGCTACCGCTAACAATGGCAAGCGTCGTGCCGCTCAACAATATTATGTCGTTCTCGTCGACTTGTATGCTCAACCCGAAAGTGGCGGTGAGCTCATTAGAATTGCTACGTCCACTTCGGCACCTCTGGTCGTCCGCGGTCGTAGTCCGGGACACTATGCCGACAACCATCACGATCGATACAGTCCAATGGCCATTAATCCTGCCTTTTCCAACGATCGTCATCTCAGCTTTCCCCATCCTCAAGGGCCTAATGGAGCACCGGGTGTGATGTCTGGTGACTTTGGTGGAAGTCCATTCCCGCCGTACGGTCAGTATCCGCCATTCAGTGGCTTTCCACCCGTAAACCCTCCAATGCGCAACGATGCACTATCTCTCATAATGACTACCAGCCCACAAAATCCCCCAAATCCTTCCTTCCACCCTCAACATCCCCATCAACCATACATGGTCCCGAGTATCTCTGAAGTTTCTCAACCTGAATCCAATGCCCCTGACATGTATAACAACCCCAATATAGACCCGAATTCGCTTGTGAACGGACACGACCAAAAGATTCCGCCTCATCACGGACATCACTCTCAGCAAGTTGGACTCGATTTGCATAACATCGAAGGTGAGGGTCGACCAAGTGACTAGGTGGATGTTTTGATTTGGGGAAAGTCAAAAAGAAGATATCGTAGAGTTAGGGATGATGTGTAGTTATTGAGGCGCGGATGACAAGTTTCTTGAAAAAAAAAAAGTTTATGTAATAAGTCGATTGTAATAGGTTTACGGAAATAAGATAGGAAATTGACATATATGCGTTTTGCATACAATGTATAAGATATTGGTATTTGGGATAGAGAGTTGGTTATAGTCAATGGAAAAGAGAGATAATAGATGCAATAATAGTAAGTAGCATTAGCAATAGAAATGTAAATATTATAGCAGAAGTAATTAAGTGTACTGGTAAAATGCATATTAATATTGGTAGCCATATAACAAACATCAATATTTTTTTATATTAATATCCATATAATATTAATAAATTGTTGGTCATTGATTTTTTAATTCACTCTTTACGCTCCCTAATCGTGTTTATATTATATATTAATCTCATTTTATCTCCAAATCTTCCCTAGTCGCCGGTACCTCATCTCCTCACTCGGCATTCACGTCGTTTGAGTCACGTCAAGTGCAGACAACTGGTATGCACGTATTTGACAACTTTCCGCAACAGAGATAATATCTCTTTTTTTTTCCTTTCTTTTAACTGGCCTTGATTGTTCACTGATCTTGTCTTTTTCGCCGACTGACTGCTTTGCCCCATCGGCTGATACCTGTCTTGTCTTATCAATGTGTTCATCACTAACGCTTTTACCCTTTTTTTTTTCTTTCTCTCTTTCAACTCTTCTCCCTCTCAACCCTCTCCCTTCCAACCCTCCCTCTCAACCTACTCATCCCTCCTCACCTCCACTCACCCATCCCCCCTCACCCTCCCTCTCACCCCTACCTCTTCATCTCCACTCATTCACACTACTCATCCTCACCCATCATGACAAGATACTGAAGGCTATCACCCAATGTACCATAACCATCCTGCAAATAACGCACCGCCGCCACCACCACCTCATCATCCCGGATATCATCCCGATAATCAAAATGGGTATCAAGCAAACGGTCGGGTGTCGCCTCCTCAACAAGCACGTAGAGATACATCAACGTCGACAGGAAGCGAACATACATCGGCGAGTCCACATGCAGATTCAAAATTGGTTACTGCAAACGCTAATAATAACAACGCGTGCAGTTCACCTCAATCATCCAACAGTTCTACAACAACGCCAACTTCAGAAATCGGCAAGGGCATTGGTCAGATGAGAACGTGAAACGCGAGAAGGAAAAAAGTCAAAAAAATGTGTACATAAATCTATTATATATATACGTCGGACGGGGAATCAGAAAGTGAAAACCGGTGGATGATGAAACCGATTTAATGAAGAGAATTTTAAGTTTGGGGGTTTTATGTTGGCTTTTTTTTTTTTTGTGTGTGTAAAGTCTGGGAGTTTATTGTGTAGGGGTTGATGAGATGATATGCGTTGTCTCGATGAAGACTGATGTTTATTCTCTTTCTTGCTTTTTAAAAGTGAGAATCAATTAACGTGCATCTTATTCTTTTCTGTCACCTTTTAAGGTGGTCAAATATTATAAATCATTTGGTCTCTGACACTTTAATGTCAAACCATATTATTTTCCTGGGTGGGATAGAGATTATATATCCTTCGTCGATGTATTCTAATTGGGCTGTCTGGCTGAAAGAGCGAAGTGATAATGATTCTCACTATCCCCCTTTCTTTTGCTTGTTTTAAATTGTATACAGGTTTTAGATTTTGATAAAATTTGGTTATTATTTTTTTTTCTTTTATTACCTTCTTCCCCTCCTCCTCTCCACTTGTCAACAATTAGTTGAGGTTTAGAGATAGATATATAACAACATGAGAAAAGCACAAAAAAGTTATCTTGTCAAAAGCATATGATGAAGTTTTATTTGATTTTTTGTTACAAGTTTCCTTCTTCTATCCGTCTCCCTTCCCCATCTCTCCTCTCCGTCTCTTTCATACTTTTTCTTCTTTTACAAAGAAAATTCCAATCTATACAAAAAATATACTTGCCTTCATACTTCTTTTTGTACAACTTTGCATATACTTTATATATAATTTCCTTTTGTTTAATTTTTTTTCGATTCTACATTTGTCTTTCGATTGCGCTTATCACAGAAATTAAAGAACTTGTCGATTTCGCGTATATAATTATGTATTATTTCCGACCATGTAAATTGGAAATTGGTTAAAGGTATCTTTTTCGACCTATCACTTACACGATGATTGCCTTACAACTGTAAATTGTAATATATTAAACTGAATTTTTTTTCGATCACATGATTTTTGTATTAAATAGAGTTTTGTGTTTCCCCAATCGTATTTTCCCTCTCGTCCATCGTTCGCCATCATACAAACACTCACCACCTCACACGCTGCTATATAGAGAACAGAGTCTTTGTAGCTATACTCGCGAAAAGCCCTCAACACTCGACACTTTATAATAGGTTTTAGTCACTGTTTTATCAAAGATGTATCCAACAGAAGCAACATCACCTCTCAACACGACTCCCTCTTCAGCAGCCTCACCAGACAACATCACACCAGATTCTGACTGCTTATTAAACCGTCCCTACTTCTCACGTAACGAAACAGAACATTACATGGCATTGTCGCGTGGGAATATTCCAAAGACCAAAGAGGCCGTGATCAGAATACAGTCTTGTAATTTTATTAGGGCCATGGGAGAGAAACTTGGGTTGTATGTAGGCAACTTTGAGGAATAAATGGGTTTGGTATATTTAAGCACTAAGTAGTAGGATCGCTGTTCGTGTTCTATTCGGTCGTTCTAAACTCTTAATGATACAATACACTATTGTTAATATGCCACGCTGGGACTATGTCGTATATACATCCTATTTCCTATATCACAGCCCTCAGAATACGATAACTACAGCAATGATGCTATATCATCGATTTTATTTGTTCCATCCGTTAAAAGAGTATCCGTCAAATGTAAAGATCTATCCTCAATGCTTCGTAAAGTTGTAATTCTCATTATACGCCAATCTTATTAAATCCTTCCATAAACTACTCGATTTGCATTATTATAAATTAAAGGATATAAGCACGACGTGCGTATTCGTCGCATCAAAGATAGAGGAGACCTACAAAAAACTCAAAGATATACTGGTTGCAGCATATAATGTTCGCCATCCCCTAGGACCAGATATCAATCCAGACGGACAGGTTAGAAAAAAAAAGAGAAAAAAAAAAAAGAGAGCGATAAACACTCTCACACTCCCTTGTACTTGTCACGTGTTACATGTTATAATTGTAATAATAACCAATAATGACTGACCCCCTCCACACATACACTTAGACCCTTGAAGAGCAACGTCGTAGAATCATCGGATACGAGCGATTGGTGTTGGAAAATATACGCTTTGATTTCCAAATACAACAACCACACAAGTTCCTTGTGAAGTTTATTAAGAGATTAGGAGGTCGGTAATCATCATCGTAATGCAGTGTGTGCATGAAATAAAAATGTATAATGAGCTACATTCGAGAGAAATCTAACTATTTTTTTTTTCACTCACACACACAATAGGTGATAAAACGTTGGCCCGTAAAGCATGGACAATTGTTAATGACGCCTACAAGACAACGGCATGTTTACGATTTCCCGCGCATGTGATGGCCGCAGCGTCTTTGTGGTTAGCAGCAAAACTATTGCACATGGACTTTCCACCAACAATGGCGGATGGAATGAAGTGGACCAAGCTTTTTTGTTGCAAAGCAGATGACATTGAAGGTGCGTTAATTCGTTTTTTTCAAAGTGGAAAAAATGTCGAATTTTATTTTATTTTATTTTATTTTTTTGATATTATGGGGAATATCTGATATCAGCATCTGTTCTGTTTTGCATTGCAACAGAGATTTGTCATTCTATACTAGATATATATATGGAGCCATCTGGAAACGCAGATGATCCAGCGAATGCCGAATTTATACGGGTCAAGATAATATTAAATCAACAAGCGGAAGCGAGAGGAGCAATAGCCTGCAAGGAATCGTAATCTGCGTGTAGATTTGAAGTCTCAAGATTTTATAAAAAGTATGACAATAGATGCAAACGACGGATCGGGGGTGGGGGTGAGATTAGGGATTTAGAGGGAAAAGGAAGAGGAAAGAAACAATAATCATTACAAGTCATTAAATGGCTGGAATATTGGTTCCGCAACAAGGTAAATCGTCCTCACATGTGGGAATTGGCAAAATGAAACTCTTGTATATGTATTGTATATGATCTAGCTAAATATTCAGACCTCTTTACAGCATCACAGTTTGATTAACCAAGACTCTTACTTTTAAAAGATGCACCATTAAAATCGCGTGAACGTCAACAATATTAAGAAATTATTGAGGATAGGATGGATACCATGTGTATGTAGGGGTGGTTGGAGTTTGCTTTTTTTCATGTTTCTTTGGGCTTTAGTGGTTGTCATAGTAAACAGTAATAGTCTACGGGCTTTTAATCTTGCAAAAAAGTGTCTTTGAAACCCTAATTGGTACAGATGATAATAATAGAAAGCACTAATTGATGATACATAATCTTATTTTGCAAGTTGACACTGCTGTATTCGTAAAACTTTATCCCATTACCGAATAATGCATTTCAACTGCGCCTTTTATCACAAGAAACTTTCATTGTTTGGCTGTGATTTTTGGGTTATGAGAATTGTGTCTTCTAAAAACTGACACATAACTAATCAGAGTTCAGAGACTATTGTAGAACGATTAAGCTATGTGCCGGGTCACTTTATGAAAGCCTTTTAAGAAGTAAACAGTAGATTGGCTCAATATGGTAGTACTGTATTGAAACGAATATTAAGCTAGCTGCCCACGGCGCTTATTTGGTCCCTGTCACAAGGTATTTGCGCGATCTCATTCACGTTTTTGTGTATGAGCTAAATCATTCACATAATTAGAAATAAACAGTTGCACTCATAAATGTTTTACAACACTAACTAATATTAGCACAATGGTGTCAAATTAACACATCCGAATACCCCAGCAGACGGTAAATGGTTTATCATGAAATAGTAAAGTCGATGCAGTTTATTACGATTGAGGCTTGTGATCGAAGATGTTACACCAACACCACAAGGTTCATATTTGTTTGAAAAGAACGCTTGCGTTGAAAGATTCTTGGCCAATGCGGCTTAAGCGAGACGTTGGAGGATTTTCTCCAAGACAATATAACGGAGTAAGAATGCGACGATACGCAAAGCATCTTTTCTATTATTGTTAACATGCTAAAGATGCGTTCGATTATACAATAATATGAAAGCTATGCAGTAAGGGCAAGACGAATCATTGCCTTGAAACAATTCTGAGGAGATGGTGCTAGTAGCATTAAGATACTGTACACTATATTTATTCTGCCTGGTTGTAAATGACCAAGGTCACAGTCTATGAGTCTTAGTCTTGGAAAGAGCTTCGATTTTTGTTAAAGCAAATTTCACTGTAAATGAATTGCTGCTGTTCTAATCGTCAACTTAAATTTGAGATGTACAATCTTCTGACACACTTGTCGAAACGTTTCCATATACTGACAATCATAACTGTATTTGTTCGATGTAACACTTGGCATAAATCAATACGATAGCGGGTCAGCTGTGCTATTTTATTAGAAGGATAGTATTACAAATGGTTAATTCTATTAGTCTATATTTTGGGTACGTAAATTAAACTAATAGTTTCAGTTTATCCCATATCAATAATATCAATAAAGTGTTAGTGCCAAACATTTGACTCGAAATTGAGCCTAACTCGGATTATAGAACTCATGAAGGACATCTGATTTTTTAACTATTTCACATGTATATCTCTTTACAAGTTTATATTACTGGTGCCAACCTTAGTATAGTAAAATAACGACACGTTTCAGAAAAAGAAAAATTTTATGCTTGCAAACCTTTATCTCAAGCCTATGACGTCTTTATTGCTTCAGAAATAGCAAGTTTAATCAATCTGTTTGATGTCTGCATGCATTAATGTAAAAATGGCGATGATAATGAACACACATCAATGTTATGATTAAGATTTCGTTAACTTGTATTGTACATGACAATTCGTCCAAGATAGAAAGGTAAAGTGCGGCGATGCAATGATTATTGTCCAACCAAAACAATAAGGTTCTTTTTTTCCTTTCTCAAAAAGACTGCATTCAGATCTGGACTATTCCAGCATAGTTTCACAGAACTTTATACGCATGAGATGTGAATAACACAGGGTATCAAATTTTTTTGACTTACTTTTTCCGGTAATTGCACGCCAATAAAGATGGTCTTGCATTACACAGTTGTAAACATCGAAATAAATATGCCAAGAAAAAATTTTATACTAGCGCACTGTTCACACACCCATGTACAATAGTGTTGCTTTAATGAAACATGTCTCTTTAGAAAATCCCAACCAAAGAGAGATACAAGACCAGTTTGTATACAAAATAGTTGGCGGCAACAAAAGCTTCTAAACACTATTCGATAACATGTGATTCTGTCATGTGGTTATCTCCCTTGTCCATACTCTCGAGACGAATACATAATTTTATACTCTCAACATGATCGTTATCTTTCTAATCTAACCCTGCAGGCATTCCGGAAACGCATGAGCGCAGAAAATCTTATGTTTCGCTTTACAGTAATAGAACCAGTAATTTTAAATACTTGATAGTAATACGAAGTATCGTACTGGATTTGTGTTACGGCAAACACAAGGGAGATGTTTGGTGCATATGACATTAGATATGTCTTTTATCAGTAATTTGCAAGTATTGATGCGGTTAGTATCATTATTATTGTTGTTATTATTATTATGTTATTACGATGATTCTCTAACCCTAATTAAGGCAAAGTTAACTGCTGACCATATTAACATGCAAATCAAATAGTGAATCGAAAATACAAACTGTAATTATAATCGATGGCGCAGTAAAAAAGTCCAATTAAATTATATTTACTACCGCACAATGCAACAACTGTTACATCAACATGCATTTTAACCTGCACAATTGGTTACTGGCATGCATTCTCTGATTGGGCCCCGAACACGCGGCTGATTTAATAATATTTGCATGCAAATTGCAAAAAACTTGCCCTGTTTCGCATATATTCTTTCTTACATTGTAGCAGAAACGTTCCCCCTCCCCGCACTCCTTGTCTCGGTAATTTCAACGCCCAAAGGCAAAAAATTTAACATTCTGAAACACTCTTCTTTTTTCAAAAAGCAACAGCATTATTTCTGTCGAACGAATTAACTGAAAGCCATGCGGTTACCGAGCGTCATACGTCTTCCTTCCTTTGGCCATAGCAAGAGAAAGCCAAAAGACGAGCGTACCAGGAATGTCGACGCAAACTCGAGTATAGCTGCCTCTTCTTCTTCTTCTTCTTCTACTCAAAAGGTCCCACCCGAGACCACTTCCGAGACGTCGCCAAATGGTGACGATACTGTGAATATCAATGATAACGCTACCCCTGAGAAAACTGAACGGCAAGGGGAAAAAACCCCAGAGAAAGACCTAGAGATAAACCCACAAGCCTTTTTCGAGAATGAGACTTGGAAGAAAACGCCACTGAAATTAGAATTCAGTGATACAGTATCGATAGAAACAAAGAACTGGCTTGGTGATATCGAGATTTCTACCGATAGTCGTATTGAGGGCGTTTCCGCCTACGAGTCTCCGAGTCCTACCTTCCGTCCTCTACACAGTTCCGTTTTTGACCGGTTAGACCGTCTGGAAAGAGCGGCAACCGTTCATATTCCGCAGACTCTATCTTCTTCTCAGTCACTCGAGTCTTTTACGCCTCAAGATGAGCCTGTAATTCGCATCAAGCCTCGACATGGGGGAGGACGTTATAATAGTTTTGATAGTCCTCATTATGACACCCAGAGCGAAGGTGAAATGAATGAGACTGAGAGAAAAAGACGGCGAAGGAGGACATACCATGTGATGAATCTCAATGCAAATCCGTTCTTCCATGCTGCTGGCAAAGGGGCAAAGATGAGAGAATTACAGATTATGCAGGATGAGATGGGAACATCGTAATTGATAAAGTGATAACAATTTTGGATACTAGAATAGATTTTATAAATTTACCAGGGGGGAAAAAGAACCTATTTCGATTTTGTGGATTGAAGTGGGCAAATAACTTTCTTTTTTTCTTTCTAGTCTGATAAGTTATTTGCGTCATTTGTCTTTCCTTAATCGTTTACCTTTTTTTATCTGTTAACTTGTCAGTATTATCGTTCATTTTATTTATCATTGTTATTATTTATTATCGTTTTATTTATTATCATACTATTACAATAACAATTTATTTGTTCTTGTTTTTTCTCTCTCTCCCTCTTCCTCTCTCCCTCTCCCTCTCTCCCTCTCTCCCTCTCTCTTTTTTTTTGGTGCCGTTACCATGTTAGTCACTCTGATACACTATCTTAGATGCGTAGATTATTTGATGCTTGAATGGACAATATTGGAATGAAAGGGATTGTGACAGTGGAATTGTAAATATCCGATTACATATTACTTTAAGTTAATTTCCTTATAGTACTGTGATTTTACTCATCTCTTATATGTATATAACTGCATTCTCTTCAATAAGAACATACAATATTCTTGTCTAGAGATTTTATGTATTGTGTCTCATCAATGTTCGTTATCTGCAATCGATGTCTTGGCTATGCAATTAGAATGGAACGCGCAACCTAATACAGTCCATCCATGATACAAGTAATATTCGCCAACCCGTGATAAGCACAACTCGGTCTACCATAGTGATATCGGAATATATTTCTGGAATCATAATTACTGGTCCCGTAATACCATATTTGTAAAATGCTGCCGGAAGTTTCTTCTTCTTTTGTACTGCTCAGTATACCATATGTTTTTTAATTACTGTTGAAAACACATTAGTATTACATTAGACTGTGGAATTATATCACGCTGACATGTCTAAATGACAGCAACTTGAGGAATAAATGGTTGACGTAAAGTAATGAAATAATTACGAGCACCTGGTAATATTTGCAGACTATGTGACACAAGCGTCGATCAAACCTTGCGTAGTATTTTGGGATGCACAGAAAACCTCTGACTTTCCAAAACTTCAATAATGGCTGATAAACCATCGCCAACGCAAGAACCTACAGATGACAATTTCCCGTTATATCGCACAGCACGTATTCATGATAATGATGAGATACCGGCATATGCGCGGGAAATGTATCGTATCGCACAACACAAGATTCGTCATTCTCGCAATTGAAAACATTCAGCTCATTCGATAAATAGTTTATCTTCGCAGACTCTTTCAGCGTTGGAAGAATTTTTAAAAGAGAGAAAGCAAGCAGAGGAAAATCTTGAGCGGCTTCGTGAACAGAAGGAAAGTGGTGTGGACGACGTGTTAGAGAAGAGAGATAGGCGGTTAGACGAATTGGACGTTATAGGCGAGGACTGGCAAGTAGGTCGGGAAGGTGGTGTAGGTGTTGTACATGTCGTTGTACTAAATTAGATTGTAAGTAGTAATCGCGATTTTTTTTTGAATGAAATTATAATATCCACATAGCTGAGCCAATTCTGGGTAAGTGATAACATAGTAAAACAGTATTATCAAGTTTGGTAATGTACATTGAACAATAAAACATATTCAATCACTTTTCCAGTATGACGAGAATACTATAAACACTATCGTCGAAGAAGTTATAGACAACACCCCTTCAGGGGGAAGAATTGCATGTATAAGTACGCCAACCGTATTTATTGGATTAAAGGTAGGAAAATTTCAAAGACATTGACTGATCTTGCAAAATTTAAATAATTTCACGACAAGATTCCTTCTTATATAGGCGTGCTTTTTGTCTGTCAAGCCCATTGCGTTTAACATCTCCCGTCAAAAAATTTGATTCTTTCATCTTTTACTTTTCATCCTGATCACTTCTCACATTTTCAATTTACCGTTTTTCTTCTCTAGCGCAAATGCCCATCCCAATCCCTTTACCTCTTTGAATATGATACGCGGTTTTCCATGTATGGTACAGATTTCATCCATTACGACTACAACAATCCGCAAGAATTCAGGGACAAACTTTTTCTTCGCGGTACTGTAGATTACATCGTAGTCGACCCGCCTTTTTTGAGTGTTGAATGTTTGGCGCAGACAATGTTGACCGTGGACTTGTTGAAAAAGGAGAATGGATGTAAGATAATGGTTTGTACTGGTAAGTTTTATGAAGAAAGGGAAAATTTATCTTAAATTGCGGGCAAAGTGTCATAGATAAAGTTATCAACCAGTTCAGAGATTGCTTGAATTTTTTTTCGTTGTAAATTCTCACTACACAAATACCATCTATTGGTTCTAGGTGCGACAATGAGTGATATTGTGTATAGATTGTCTCAAGCTCGCAGGACTGTATTCGAACCTAGGCACAGAGGGAATCGATTGAAAAATGAGTTCCGGTGCCATTTAAATTATGAGAGTGAAAAGTTACATTGGGATGAGAGTCAAACATTTTACTAACATAGATGTAACAATAATTGAATAGGGTAATTAAAGATTAAAAACGAAAATAGTAAATGTTGAAACTATACAACAAGAATAGGAATTAGAATCACCACTTGCTGACAAAATAACGCGAAACGTTAAAAGATACCTTTGGAATCTGTTAAATCCCGGGTGTTGCACCATCATCGACATGTGCCCAATTTCTAAACCAAAGCACGTGAGTTGGCCGATGATAAAAATGTTTATGAAAAATTTTCATTATTCTTTCTATTTGCCTGCCGAAACGAACTTTTTGCTCACCACCGAGACAAGGTACCGTTGACTGATCAACTGGAAAAACGACAAAACAGTCTTGATGTTCTTTCCGACTATTGCATTGATTAATGTATGTTGGTTATTTTGAAGTTCGAGTAGGGTTTAGATTAGAAAATGGGTCGCGTTATTCGTTCTCAGAGAAAGGGTCCTGGTGGGATATTTAAAGCCCACACCAAACTTCGTAAAGGTGCCGCTAAGCTAAGACCATTGGATTACGCAGAAAGGAACGGCTACATTCGTGGTATTGTTAAGGAAATAATTCATGACCCTGGCCGTGGTGCACCTCTCGCCAAGGTCCAGTTCCGAGATACTTATCGGTAATTTATTGTTATTTTGATTGAGAGAAAAGAAAACTGCTCATAATGAATAGATTGTGTATAATCTGAATTATGTGACATGGTATAATTGATATGAGGATATATGCAATCATGAACTGGGCACTTGAATCCAGCACGAATTAATTTTTTCCGACATCATTAAACAGTTACAAAAAACGCATCCAAACGTTCATTGCAACAGAAGGTCTTCACACTGGCCAATTCATCTACTGTGGCAAGAAGGCGACACTGACCGTTGGCAATGTATTGCCTCTTTCAGCTATGCCTGAAGGTACCATCATATGCAACGTTGAAGAGAAAATTGGGGATCGCGGAGCATTAGCAAGAGCATCTGGGGATTACGCTACAATCATTGGGCATAACCACGAAGAGAACAAAACTCGCATCAAGTTACCGTCGGGCGCAAAGAAAGCGGTCAGCTCTAATACTCGTGCCACTATTGGCATTGTAGCTGGCGGTGGTCGTATTGACAAGCCTATGCTCAAGGCAGGCCGTGCTTATCACAAATATAAGGTCAAAAGAAATTGCTGGCCAAAGACACGTGGTGTGGCAATGAATCCTGTGGACCATCCTCACGGTGGTGGTAACCATCAGCATATTGGTCATGCGTCTACTGTTTCAAGAGAGAGTGCTCCTGGTCAGAAGGTGATCTATCCGGCAGTTTATTACACTTGTTTCTCAGTATTGTTCTTTGAACACGGCTTTAACGTCAATATTGTTTGTGATGCAGGTCGGTTTGATTGCTGCCAGAAGAAGTGGTCTACTCCGTGGTACAAACAAAGTCAAAGGCGCATAATAAACCAGAAGAAACTAATTGTTCCAAAGCAAACCTTACTAATAAAGCAGGCCAACAGTTGTTGGCAACATACAACAATTTTGTTTTATTTTATTTACGCAGAATTTCTTGGCATTTGTTGATGTTTCCCACGTGTTTGATAAATTGACCGATTTATGTCTGCAAATGGAAAAGAGACCTCCAACAACGAGTGTCGTTTTTATGGAATGCTCGGGAATAAATAAGCGTTGACACTACATATCCGATCCACCGCCACGATATCTCTAGAAAAGTCTATTCAGTATACGCAAAATGCCCCCATCACATGTTCTCGCCACATCATATTCTTGATTGTGATATGTAGAGTGTATTTATTAATTGTATGTCATGTAACGAGGTGTAGATGAGAACTTTCCGTATGACTATGGGATAGAAACGGAATCGCTGTTAGCATAAATTAATGTACAATGAAGTTATAAACATAATATGTTGTATACCTTTATAACTTTGTTGACCGCTTCCAAGAAATCTTTTTCGGTTGCAACCTACGCGATGATAAATGCAAATTAATGCTAGTTTAACAAAACCCCAGGCGAATCTTTGCTATAATTATCGGCGTGATTTATCACAGCACGCAAATGTTATTACCTTTCTTCTGGATCGAATGGCAAACATTCCGGCTTCTGTACACACACTACGCAAGTCGGCACCTAATCACAAAAAATTAAAAAAAAATTATGATCAATTAATTGAGGCGAGATTAATTTCTACGAGATGGTCGATAATTACCAGTACTATTTGGGCATAATCGAGCGATTAGCTCATATCGGATATCACGCTCAACAGACATGCTATAAAAAAAAAGTATCAAGTACAGTAAAAACGTATTAACGTCAAAAGCATCTCAATACAAGCATTTTGGCATGTGGACCGCTGACAACTCATACATACCTCTTTGCGTGAATTTTGAGAATATGTGATCGTCCCTACAGCATCCATCTCACTATTAGACAGGCGTCAATAACAAAAACATATCTCGGACAATCATCCAACTCACCTCCAAGTCGGGCAGAGAAAATTCAACTTTTCGGTCGAGACGTCCAGGACGCATCAGGGCAGGATCCAATGTATCGGGCCTGTTTTTGAGCAAGAAAACGAATGGAGATACTAGTCAATGAAAAAGTGAACCTTTTATTGCTTAAATGCAGTTTCGATAATTCTATTTCACGTTTTGACCATACCGATTAGTGGCCATAAGCACTTTAATGTTTCCTCTGGGATCAAATCCGTCTAATTGATTAATCAATTCTAACATTGTTCTTTGCACTTCATTATCACCTCCCGCTCCGTCATCGTAACGTGCACCTAAGATGCAAAATACATAAAAATTTAATTACACTTCGTTTATCGTGACAACTTAACCACACATTCTCAATACGAATCATCTACCTCCAATAGCATCTATTTCATCAAAGAAAATAATGCATGCCTTCTTCGTTCGCGCCATCTCGAACAGTTCACGTACCATACGCGCCCCTTCACCAACATATCTGTACAAAAGAAAAAGGCAGTAGCGATGACAAAAATATGTGGATTAATATAGTAATAAGACAAAACTTAAAATTAATAACAAAACTCTATCAAACAACAATTCTCGTACTTTTGCACTAGCTCCGATCCTATTACTCTAATAAACGTTGCATCAGTCCTATTTGCAACAGCACGAGCACAAAGGGTTTTTCCCGTGCCGGGTGGTCCGTATAAGAGCACTCCCTTTGGAGGATCGATTCCGAGGTGGACAAATCTTTCTGGCTATTAGAATAAATAAGTGAATGGATGAATAAATGGATAAATCGTTGAAACTATTTTGCCAGTTAAACGTGTGAAATAAAGATGGGGAAGAAAACATTGCCACAAAATTCAATATAGATGCTACTATGGGAACTATTTAGCATTCCTTGCGTTAATGTCATTCAACCCATTATCTTACCTGAAGTAAAGGCAACTCTACAACTTCTCTTAATTTTTCAATCTGCTCTTTACACCCACCAACATCACTATACGTAACATCAGGTTTCTCTTCGACCTGCATCATTGTCACGGAAGGATCGATTTTTGGAGGCAGGGGAATCTGTATCTGGTACTTGTTCCGGTCAACACTGTAAAAAATCATCATTAATAAACTTACGCTCGAATAGGGAGTACTTATTTAACCTGTAATTAAACCCCAACGCAATAGCAGTCTCATCGTTTGAGAAAATACCAGACTCACCCAACTCGCATACCCTCTTCAATATCCGTTGGTGACACGCGTTCTCCCAGTGCAACTACAAACTTTGCAATTTGCTTTACATTGATAATGTATTTCGCACCCTCGCCGACTCCGCCTTGGATAATTTTCGTGCATCTAGCTACTTGCAGTGGTTGTTCTTCTTGCATGCGTTGTTTATCTGCTGGAATATCCCAGAGATTCGGTGGCGCTAAGCCAGTGTCTGATTCCTTTACACCTGAATCATGAACGCATGTGGAGCAAGATGCGGGAGAGTGTAAGAAACGAAAGCAGTGGTATGAACGCTATTATAATTGTCATACTGTTGTTTATCAATTCTTACCAATTTTTTCATTGATTTTCTTTTGGATCTCTTTAATGTCTGTTTCGATCACCTTGAGTTCTTTTGCGTACGGACCTTGACCCTGCATTCACGGATTCAATTAGCCACGTTTTTATAGAATCAGGCGTAATGGGATTCAATTACTTACATAAGTCTTCAATAAAGCAATATCTCCTTCGTCAAGGGCTTTTACCGTCAATTAAAATTAAATAAGTCAGATCAAAGTTTTTTCTTTCTAATCCGGTTCGATGCGAATTACATGTACTGTTATATAACACGATTACATATAACGCTCACTCATTCATACCAACAATCTTTTCATCCTCGGCATCCTCATGCGACTTTTCGTCTACAGAATGTACGAATCGATTGATACGGTTACTAATGTGGGAAAAAGTCTACTGTAATTTAAGCCAATTAATGACTGACATTTGTCCCAATCTTCCTTTGGTGGCATCGTTCTGTGTTTTTTGGATTATTTTTTGCTTTGAAATATGAAAAGGGTTTCTACTAAATACTTGATGAAGTTTACGTCAGCATCCGTATTACGTGTTGTCCGATTGGACGTGTGGCAAAAGTATTGGATAGGCCAGTTTTCTCTGTCATGTGCTCAAGATATGTTCGCAAATCGAAACCGTTCAACTTTATCAAAAGAATTTTCCTGAGCAAACCGAATCCTCCCTTTCCCAATTATGCTTGTTATACAGTGGAACGATTAAATATTTTCAAAGAACCAACTAATCAACTACTACAAAGCTTAATTATGTACACTATAAATTTTTAATGTTAATTCCACAAATACAATCCTTATCAGCATTTTCTTGCTACCTAAATATACTGTATAACCTTAGCTTTTTCGATTGAAGAACGGGTTCGAACAATAGCTTTTAACAATAGATTGATTAAAGTTATGGATGCATGCGGCAGATGGAAATTAACGTCAAGGTTAGATGTTAAGGTGAAACCGAAAATTGGAAATGACATATTCTTTATGAATGTGGAAAGTTGCAACTTTGAACACGAAAATATTCAACTCGCATCGAGCACTCTATGAAAAATTTATCTCATAACCGAGATGTAATGGTCAAAACTCTAGTAAAACAAAACTCTGACTCTTTACTGGATCAATGTTTGATAAATTTGTCCTTCAAAGTTATCACTTATTTGATTTGAGTAATGCAGAAATATGGAATTCTAATTCTCTCCAACCAACAAGAATTGTAACGAAGGTGGTTAATTTGCTTTTTTGAATTCGTATACGGGCAAACAATGTGGCATGTGGAAATCGTTAAAACAGATAATAAACGTTCAATGGAATCAATTTGGGTTTAGTCAATTGGCTGAGAACTGCAATTCAACTTCGTCTAAAATTGAAAGAACAAAAATAACGCATGCTGCAGGCTGAATTCTAATAATAGCATTGTTCCTTCCCACGGTTGGTTTGTTCTACGTTCTCTTGGTCAATGGAATAATGGACAGCAGACAAGAACATGCAGAAAAGGGGTCTCACAGAAAAACACCACAGTGAAGCTGCGGGCTAAATATCCCAAAGGTTCACGGCTATGTAGAATTTATGAATTGTAATCTATAAATGGCATTCAATTACTGGTCCAAAGACATTGGCGTGAAAAAGTGACAGAACGATGCATTACGGTCACTTTTTTAAGCACTTTTATATTCAAAATTGATAAGCCATGCCGACGTCTACAAAAACCATATCCGCTGAAATATCACTTCAGTACCTCATTTGGATTCATGTGTTCCCGTATATTTCCAAACGAGGAAATAGTATTAGGGTGTGATAGTAATAACAGACAAACAAATACTTTATCATCGATAATGAATACAATTTTCAATATCACGAATCAAATTCCATTCAATTGATACTTTCGGAACACATAATGAACGGATCCATTTAGTAACCAAGAGCATATGTTGCGCTCTTTTTTATCCTTGATCTTAGGTCATTTAGCGTTTCCTCCATTCTCTCATTCATGGTGACGACAACAATGCCAAAAAGAGTCACATAATCACTATCTTTTCAGTTTTTGAATTTCGTCGGCTTCCCCTTTATCTACCGCCAAATTTGACTAGTAACACCTCACCCATCCCAAGAATAACACATATCTTCAGCGTACTTGACATCAATTAAAATATTTATCCCCATTCGTCTCGCTGCTACGTACCACTGCTTGTCCTCTTCTTCCTCCTCCTCCCTTTTCCTCAAAGTCCGTCCGACATTCTGTCCTCCAATTCCTAACAACGGCATTGCAGCGAAGAGCCTCAGCTTCGGGGCGAGGTCCCCTCCCGCGTACCCCTAGTCCCCCAACAACCTCCCATGCACGGCCCCAATTATACTCTCCAGAAAGTTGGCAATACCAAGTAGCGGAGAATCTTCTTAGGGCCAGCCGCACGAGCCATGGATCGTCTTCCACTGACACATACGGCACTTCCTCAGCGACTCCTAAACAAACCGATAGGCTAGACACTCGCACTTCCACACCAATTTCACAAAAGAATGCTGAAGGATCAAGCACGCAAACGCCAGCGTCAACGGTAACCCCGGCAACACCGGTAACTCCAACAGATCCGCAAGGAGGAACTATACAAGAGCATGTAGCTATACGAATTCAAGAAGACGAGAATAAAAGTCGAGGTGGCAGTGTTCCTCGACGAAAGAGTAAAAGACTTTCGCGCAGTTTATCACATGGATCTTGGCCCGGTTGGGCTTCATTATATTATTCGAAATTTGATAATGCGACAGATACGCCTATCACTTCTCAGGGAAGTTCTAGTGGCGATAAAAGCAAAGATACCAAAACTGCAAAAGACAAATCCAATGCAGACGCAGATACTGCAAGCGCTACTTCGATTACACAGCCAATTCAAGGTAGCAGCACACAGAAAATTTCATTCTCCTCCTCCCAACCGCCGCCCTCTTCTTCAGTATCGCTTACCCAACGCTCAAGTCGAGATGTCCAACCTCCCATACCGGTTCAACAGAAACGTCCTTCTCCATCGTCATCCGTAGATGACGAGCCTACACGAGCCTGGAGTCCATATGTGCGTGACCCCATAGTCGTATGTCCAACCGGGTCAATTCTCTTTTTGTTTGGATTTCTATTCCCACCATTGTGGTGGATTGGATCTTTTTATCCTCGACGTCCACGGACAAGCGCACATGAACGATGGAAGATGTATAATAGATTAATGTCTGTGGTATCGTCGTTTATAATTGCGGGAATTTTGGGAATTGCTATCTGGTATTTGGTTCATAAATCCAAAAATAGTGTGTGAACGTATTGGGTCGGAAGAGAGGTGACGAGTGATTTAAGGTAAAAAGAAAGGGAAAAAAAATTATATAGACGTTGAACGGCAACACAATTCTTACTATTTGTATCAATTTCCGGTTTTTTTTCTTTTCCTGTACTATTATATTCATATTAACTTTAATTCCATTAATTTCAATTACCCTCACCTTTTATCCGTGTACATAATTGACTATTTCTCATGAATTATATAGAATACTTGTCTTTTAATATCATTACAATTTTGATCACGGCCGCTCATTAAGGCCGTGTAATATTCACTTTAAAATGTAAACGAAAGTTTTCGATAACGGCCATGTAATAAGACATTTGTAAAGATGTGTGCTGGCGGGAAATCTTATTTTTGGTAGCAAATAAAATGCTGTCAGAGACCTTGCGGTTTGGCAACAAGTTTCTTTACTAAAATTCGAATGTGACAAATTGATATGGAAAGAATCAACGGGGAGTTTTGTAACAATTGCGGATTGCTTACCATTTGCTGATGCAAATCATCAATAACTTGTTCTTATCAATTATTTTGCACAAATGCTCTTTGTTTTGCTCGTAGATTTGGACTTTTGATTATTGGCAGATTACTTCATACACCATTCTGTAACCATCTAGTTAACTGTTGTATTGCGCCAAAGAAAGCAACCGACGCATCACATCCGTCAATACAATTGATGGAGCAAGGTTTTCTTTTTTAAAAAGTCTGCAAAATTATATATAAATGCCATACAGTACGCTACCGTGTTTAACCGTCTTTCGCGATCGCCAATGCTGTATTAATATGTTTAAAGTTAACATTATCTGTTTTGTTACTATATTTAAACTTCCCCACTACACATTTAGTACATTCTTAGAAGGCAGAGGACTTTGGCGGTGGAGGCATATTTATTAATAATTATGATGACGACATATTACCCGGAATGATCTTTCAGTTCAGGGTCAAAGCCACGAGATCTTTTTGTCTCACCATCATAGATAATCAAAGACAATAATAACAATTGCCAACACGAAACCGTTCAACCAAAAATGGGCTTTTGTATATTAATCCCTTATATTTTAATAACTGCTTAACGTTTCGTAGTGAGTTATGCTAATCCTGATTTCGTGATATATCAATTGATCTTTAAGCAAGATTAATATTAAGGGAGATAGCAGTATAATGATGAGGCTAAAACGAATTCTTTATTGCTTCGTGGCAATGCATCACAGAATAACATAGAACACCTTTTACGGAAAATTTTCATTTAGGTTTAGCACATTTTGAAAAGGGAATATATATACACCCGCGCATGACCATGCCGCGCCCCATATTACTTGGAGACAAACACCTATGAAGCAGTCAGATTGGCCTGTTGTTGTGGCCATTTGTGTATTGATATTATCAGTAATTTCTTCACATACTGCAGACGCCTCGTATGCCAACCCGTCAGCTGATATCCCGGGAATACCACCAGACGACGCCAACGTAACCAACGTAGAATATTGCAAGCTGCTAGCATATTCTTTGTATTTCTACGAAGCTCAGAGAAGTGGCAAGTTACCAAGTGACAACAGAGTTTCTTGGAGGCATGACTCGGCGCTATATGATGGGCAAGACGTTGGCGTGGATTTGACCGGAGGTTATTATGACGCTGGAGACCACATGAAATTTACCTTTCCACTATCATGGAGTCTTACCTCTGTGTCATGGGGAGCGCTAGAATGGTATCAGGGCTACAGTGTTGCTAACCAGACTGGATATCTGAGGGCTATGCTAAAATGGGGAACGGACTGGCTTATAAAAGCGAATCCTGTGAAAAATGTGTTGTACGCTCAAGTCGGGAAAGGCGATATTGATCATAATTATTGGGGTCCTGATACCGGGTAACGTGTTGGTATAGGGTTTATATTTACGCATCTTTGTTATTCTATACTCTAATCAGATCCAACTTTGGGGAATAAATTTATTTCCATAGAATTCCCTATCCGCGTCCAGCCTTTTCTGTCAATTCAACTACACATGGCACCGATGCTGCTTCTGCTGCTGCTGCTGCATTGGCCGCGGCCTCTGTAGTCTTTCGTCAAAAATATAATGATACCTCGTATGCAGATTTACTTGTATCTCATGCGATAGATCTGTATGAGTTTGCGGAACTCATACCATTTGCAAAATATTCAGACTCGATTTCCGATTCCAAAGAGTTTTATGGATCCAGTCGATACACTGATGATTTAGTCTGGGGAGCACTCTGGTTGTATAATGCTACCGGCAACTCGACATATTTTACGAAAGCCACAAATTACATCGATCAATTCTCATTGATAGGATCAGAAGAGGTCATTAATTGGGATGATAAGATGGGAGCTGCTTTCATTCTTTTAGTCAAATTTACGCGGGAAGCCGGACAGGACCCCGCAAAATGGCAGCGGGTGACTGAAAATTACTTGGATGCAATGATAACAAGCAACTGCCAATTAACAAAGGGTGGTCTCCTTTATTGCGATGGAGACAGCGATGCGGCGTCACTTAATCCAGCGCTCAACTTTGCATTTGCGTGCCTTGCATATGCTCCTCAGGCAAGTTCATCGGCCAAAGCAACAAGTTACAGAAACTTTGCCTTTTCGCAGATTGACTATACTCTTGGGAAAAATCCAATGAAGACACCCTATGTGGTTGGAGTACACCCAAATTCACCTCGGAATCCACACCATTCTGGCGCGCATGGGGGAACTGACATTGATCACCCAAAGAATAATTTGCACATAATTTACGGAGGTGTTGTTGGGGGACCAGATAAAAAGGACAGGTTCCTGGATGACAGAACAAATTATATACAATCCGAGGTAAGCATTGGGGATATTAATTTTACATCAGAATTAGCTCCGTCATAATGAATTATTGTTTAGTCACGTAGACTTTATATTGTTATTATGTGCGTTTGTATCTTTATTGTTTTTTAACTCGTGTCTGCGCGAATTCAGGTGGCTTTGGATTACAACGCACCTTTCCAAGGCATAGTGGCTTATCAGGTTGTTAATGCCCAGTCACCACCCTACTACGTCAACGTTCCGCCTGGCAGACCAAAACCAAAGACTAGACTTATCATTGGTATCGTTGTTGGAGCAGTAGTTTTCATTGTAGGTTGTTTGTGCATATGGAAGCGGAAGAAAATAAGGGCATTCTTGAAGAGACACAGTATGTCGCAAAGAAAATTGGCCAAACAAGGTTTGCCATTACGCGACGACTAACGTATCAATTTTTATTTAAAAAATACTCTAATTTATTTAATAAGAATTCTTTTCGACATCATCTTTAATTACAAGTACACATTTGTTCTTTCTTGAATTGACGAGATTAATTAAAAGACTATTTGGAATTGCATTCCACTCTTCATCGCGAATTGTTGTAATTCAGCCAAAATTCTTGGCATTTACAATTTTCGATAGGATTAAGTCACGGTTATTTCGATCACTTCCGGGATATATTTTTTAGTGAATTCTTTGGCACGATGACTTGTATGTTTGAGATCGTTGTCTTGCTGCGGTCTCCGATTATTCCTAACCATACTGTTGAAGGATTTTTCAACATAAAATTTTTCGTTCATTATTTGCGTAAAGCAGAATGAAGGAATTTCCGACTCATTCAGGTTATACAATCTACGTATCTTTACATCATCCCGAACAAGAATGCTTAAATGTAGTACTTGCACCGCCCCAGTTAAACTACCCACCAAACACTGTCCCCACCAATGTTTAATGCAGGCGTCAAGCACAATGTCAAAAGCAAGTGTGCCTTGCTAGTATTTTGGTGTGGTATGCCGTGTCTAGAGAAAAAAAAAGCCAAGTTCAGTTAGCATAGGAGATTAGTGTAACGTCTTCCTTTCTATGAGCTAAAGTAATATGCATACTTAAAGAACGAGAATAAGTACCACTTTCAGTCATACATGTATCGTGTTTTACAGAACCGACTAACAAATGTGGCTTTTGATTAGTATTACCTATAATACTTATTAACGTTAATACATAACCATTCGCGCGTCTGCAGTTTGGGTAAAGCGCGGAATCTTATTATCATTATTACGTCATAATTTATAACGCTCTGTCTTAGAAATAATGTGATTATCAGTCGTGATTATCTCCTCCACTCTATATTCCCAATGAATGTTTTCACTCCATTTCAACTCTTAAAGTCAAAAGTGGAAAACGACAGGTCGAACCACTTGGCGACTTCAGTTGTGGCAAACTCTATCAACGAATCTGCTTTCATTGCTGCTGCTCCTATAGAACTCTATTCCACAAAGTATTACTGGACTTGTGCTCTAGGAGGAGTCGCGGCCTGTGGAATAACACATGCATTGGTCTGTTAAGCGGTGATAGTTTTGTTGTTAGCAATTAGGTAAACGAAAGTGACTGGGAAATATACTAAGGCGGAATTATTCCGATTTAGGTGACGCCCTTAGATCTGGTCAAATGTAGAAAGCAGGTTGGTCTGATAGTTTGCAAAGATTGTAGTTTCGAGTTTTTAATCTATCCTATATGAACATTTAATAAACCAACTCTTCACCGTATTACTCTTCTACTTCTCGCTGTCAATCGTCTTTGCGTCTTTTATTCTTTCGCTCCGTAATCCAACCATTTCATAGGTCGATCCAACTATTTACAAAAGCAACTTTGATGGCTGGGTCAAGATTTATCGCGAGCATGGCGCCGGTACGCGCGGTCTGTATACAGGAGTTACGCCTACATTTATTGGATATTCGTTTCAAGGAGCTGCAAAGTACGGGTTTTATGAATTGTTCAAAAAGAAATACATAGATCTGGCTGGTGAGGAAACTGCCCACAAGTATCGTACTACGCTTTATCTGGCTGCCAGTGCAAGGTGAGAACTGTCCCGATCGATCGCATTGAGACATGGAAGCGAGATATGAGATTAATCATTCTTGGTGTCCTGGTTAGTGCTGAAATCCTTGCAGATATCGCGCTATGTCCTTGGGAAGCACTGAAAGTGAGAATGCAGACCGCAACGACGCCGTTTGCTACGTCAACAGTCGATGGATTTAACAAGATTCTCAGACATGAGGGCGTAAATGGGTCAGTCTACGTTCCATACTATCTAGGGCCTTTTGGCAAATAAATTTTTTACATTTATTGAACATTCTATCGTTACAGCTTTTATAAAGGACTGCCTCCTCTCTGGGGACGCCAAGTTCCGTACACTATGATGAAGTTCGCCTCATTCGAACGCACCGTGGAATTTATTTACTCATATTTGAGCAAACCCAAACATGAATATAACAAATTGGAACAGTTGGGTGTTTCGTTCCTCGGTGGATATATAGCAGGAGTATTCTGTGCTATCGTCAGTCATCCCGCCGATACTTTGGTGTCCAAGGTAAGTCCTTCATTAAAATGCGGAGAAACGATTACAATTTAAATGAATTGATTCAAATTACATTTTATACATTTATATATAACAAATGATAGCTTAACAACGTCAAGAAAGCAGAAGGCGAGTCGACAGCCGCACTTTCGCTACGTCTCATGAAAGATCTCGGCTTTAAAGGCATTTGGCGTGGTCTTGGTACACGTGTGATTATGATTGGCACGCTCACTGCTCTTCAATGGCTCATATACGACTACGTTAAGGTCTACGCTGGACTTCCAACTACAGGTTCGAGTGGAAAAGATGAAAAAAAAAGTTAGATATGTCAACTCTCATTCCACAAGTCCCCTTGCGCTCAGTCGCGTTGGTAGGGATGAGAGGTGTACGATCGACCGCCGTTGATACACAAGACTATGTTGACTGGCTGCTTTATTCATTCGACGAAGAGGAAGAAGTTGAACAGCTGCTTGACGAATTGTTCTATTACTAAAGAAAGAATGATGGAGCTAGCATTCAGCAAATCGCTTTGTTGTTTATTCGGATGCTATGACGTTATTATGCATTCATTATCTGCCAGAAATGTTTTCAAATAAAAACGTAAAATTGTAAGCCGTCCGGACTATTTACTCAGACCTAATTTTGGAATCACTGACCCGCTTACTTTTATTGACAGCAAAGAAGAAGGGCAGTTAAACATTCCAATAGTTTAATATGCTCTACCTGCGGAGCTCACGAATTCAGCGGGAATTAAAAGACGTGAATTTGACAAGATAGAGTTTCTGTGTTATGCAGTGATATGTGGGATGTCTAATAGAATAAGGCAATTTATGGGAATATCCGTGTCACCCATATTCTCAAATTGAGTTTGTCCTACCCAATGCATATGTAATACAAACAATGCCAATATGTCATATTTACGCTTTAAAACCGGCACCTGCCATGCAAATCATATCAACGTCGTGCACTAGCTCGAATTGGGTAAGTTTTCATTTAAAACGTTTGAGTCTCTATGTTAGAAAATAGTGACAATGGTATGTGAAGCGGTTTTATTTCAATATCAGCACGTGATGCAATTTCTGTCTCCATACCTGCGACTGAATCGAAACAGCTATTTCTTGGTTTAGATAGTTTTATAAATAATACAAATATTTTGAGAACAATAATGGAAGTTACAAATGACTATCCAAAATATCTATATTAATATCATCAAAATACGACATTTAATAAAGACATCAATGTGCTCTGAGTTTCCTCTATTGGGAATTCCTTTCCAGGTAAATCATTAAATAAAGAGGATGAGCATAAGTCTACTACAATCATTATAACCAGTTTTGATAACTGAGCCATAATAATCAATTGTTTTTGGAGCATTAGGTGTATAAATTATCAAAAATGTTTCTTTCCACTATTGAATTCGTTTGTGGGCTGTTGATATGACTTGTCGTTAGTCATTTGCTCCATTATAAAACATACATTCAACTCTGCAATATAAATCAAAAGCTTGAAATAGCAATTCAAGCAGTCGAATTAAACAAAATCAAAATCAAATCTAAATCCAGCAAGCTACCCAGCGAACGAAAATACGCAGAAGACGTTGACAATCTATGGAAAGATTTTAAAAAATTCTTTGATACGAAATCTGAGCTGGACCCGGACTTTTCATTTACCAAAGTGGC